AAATCACAAATCAATGAATGAAGATCCTCAATGAAATACAGAGCAATACAATTAAACTCACAGTTAAGGGAAACATCCCCACCTAGCGGAGAACTTGAGTAACTCATTTTGAATAAAGCAATTAAACACAAACATTTAACAACATACCTGCACAATGGAAACAGTGTGTAATAGGGTTTCACTGATTCAGAGAGAGAAGAAACCATTTCTACATAAAACACAAGACAACACACAAATTGATTGCAATCAGGCCTGGTAATATAAACGCGTTATAACTCGATATTGAGCAACACACTCAACGCCAAACAAGGCTTAACAGAGTCCCAACATATTAATTGAAAGATACAATCACAATAAAGCAAATATTTGTGTGTCTTGGACACTTATAAATGGTCATTCTCAGACCGCGAAAACCGTGCAACTTACCCACAGCAATGCTTGAAGTTCCTGTCTTAAGCATATACGAACCGCCGCGGGTGTTTTGACCCTTCTCATCTGCTGTACTGGCAGCAGATCCAACACGGAAGACGCCAAAAGCAAGAAACCTCACAGCACGAACAGAGACACAAACTGACAAATATACAGATAAGTAAATAAAAGATGTAATAATTAAACCTATCTTGTGTGTGCGTGTGATTATTGAAATGGTTATAGCAGGGATATGTGAAGATTAAAGTGAGTGTATGTATGCGAACATAACAGTAGCACAAACCCAAGTGTGCACCCGAGGGAAAGGCTGTAAACTAACTGTATGCACGATGATGTATATAAAACTAAAGCGGGATGGGAGTTCAAGTGTTATCCCGGCCAGTGACGGAGTCCTCTGTCACATGAACACTTACGGGACATAAAGCAACATTCTTACCCATACATCCTTTTAAAAAAAAATAAAAAATATAAATGTGAGTATCAAATATGATACATCAAACTTTTGAGAAACGTTTATTTGCATATCTTTCAGTTATGATTGTATTGCACTGCATTATGTTTTGCCTCCATAATAAAAATGACAGAACTTTGATCATAAAACTAAGCATTAAATATCATCTTACTAAAACATATTATTGTGAGATATAGATTGACAACTGATAATTATATGCATTTTGCGTAAGTAATCTACTATACTGTTAGAAAGATCTCATTGATATGAATTACAAGTGATCAGATTTGAATTTTTGGCCATATAAATATCAGCACCTGCACCAAATTGCATATTTTTGCTCAGTTTGAGCTTCTTAAAGGTGGGGTATGTATTTTTTCAAAAACGCGTGTTGGGCCGAGTACCAAAACAAACTTGTAGCCAATCAGCAGTAAGGGGCGTGTCTACTCATGATGTGGAGGAGAGAGCGCTCAGTGCACAGGACGGACATTAGCCGAGCCGAGCGACAGAAAGATAGAGATGGTGGATTAAAAAAAAAAAAGAGGAGGAAACCCTCTGCGGAACAAAAGAAGGCTTAGGATGAGACAAGAAGTAGGACCCGTGTAAATATCGGATCAGCTTTCCAGTGCTGAGAGGAAAACCTCTGCGGAACAAGAGAAGGCTTAAGATAAGACAAGAAGTAGGACCCGTGTAAATATCGGATTAGCTTTCCAGCGCTGAAGAGAACTCAAGGAGCAGAAGGCCTGCGATTGGACGCCAAGGTTGTTTTGTTTCATCTCGATAGATGAGTATGTCTACACCGGACACGACAGTTGTCGCGCTGCATCAGCTAAAGTCTGTCTACACTGGACGCGACAAAGCGACCGTTGAAAATCATTTGAAATTTGTGTCAATACTTCATAAATAGAACGTGGCACCAGTTTTTTGTCAGGGATTTGTCGTGTTGCGGCACGTCATGCCGCTCGTGTCCGGTGTAGACATGGTGTAACATTGGTTTTGCTTTGTTTCACAGAACTAATCGTTGCGTACGTATGTGTGGGGCGGAGCTGTCAAAAGAGGGGCAAGACCCTTTTGGGGTAGGGGCGCATTCGTTTTGGTGATTTGAAATATCAACATTGGCTACCAGAAATCACTTACCCCACCTTTAATAAAACTGAGGCGTTTTGTCCTCCTCAATTATGAGCTCCAAATTCTCCTGCATCATAATATATGAGCCATAAAAGCCTGATGAATCAAACATGATACTGTACAAAACACATATGCAAACTGTTGTTTAAAGGTTCAATGAACTGTTCTATTTCAAAACGAAATGAGATAAATATATATTTCAAGCTTTACAGGACCTTATTTGGTCATGTTCCTGTCCTCATTTTGTTAATTAGTTTGATTAGTCATCCCATACACCTGTGTTTCCCCAATCATACCCTGTATTTAAGTCCTAGTCTGTGCAGTCTGTCTCGGTCGGTTCTACTTATGTTCATGTGTTTCTTGCCGTTCCCAGTGTTGGCTGTACCCTGAGATTCATTTATTAAAGACTGTTTCGTTTTTTCTTCGTCTCCATTGTTCCTCGCCATCGCAGATTGTGCTAGTAATATGCATGCTAATAAGCAAGTAGTTAATTGTGAGAACTGGTCCCTCCCTAAACTAAAGTCTTACCATATTCTATATAAAATGAATGGGTGTAGTATGAATGTAATCCAGACATTCTGGAACATTTTCTTGTAAAATGTTCATAATCTTTATTCATACTTAGAAACAACTTTTCCCCATATAGAAGAGAAGTATGCGATTTAGGATGCAGAAAGTCTTGGAAAGGAGACTTAATTTTGTTTTAATGTGCCATTTAGCAGTGGGTCAATTTGAAATGCATTAAAAACCAGTGCAGAAGAAACATATTACCATTATGGCACAACAGACTTTGCAAACGATTGTAAAGAGAGCATTGAAGAAACGATTAGTTAATATGTAGATATTCTGCCCATCCAAAAAGGGAGCAATTTGCATCAGATCATCAGTGTCAAGGACTGGCTGAAACCAGGGGACGATATGTTGTGTATATTTGCAAATATGATCTTTTAGGTACAGTAACTGGGCAACAGTCCAGTTCTTCACCATATTCTAATTTGTTGAGATAGTGAATTGGTGGGTTTTTGTTAAATGTGAGCCAAAATCATCACAATTAAAAGAACCAAAGACTTAAACTACTTCAGTCTGTGTGCACTGAATTTATTTAATCCACGAGTTTCACAATTTGAGTTGAATTACTGAAATAAATGAACTTTTCCACGACATTCTAATTTAATGAGATGCACCTGTATATATATTTTTTAAACTGCTGGATTTGTTTTAATCTAGAATGAAACCATTCTAAAAAGTTCAGTATAATAATTTGTAAGTAAAAGGGAAATGTAAACATATTAATGTTATACATTTGATTGATTTTTGTTACGTTATAGTTTATTACGGCACTGCCACAACACTAAACTCTTCTTGCATAAACATGAGAAAATCTTTTTTATAATGAGCTCACAACAACTAAACCGCATAGTGGCACACTATTACATTTCCTTGAGCTAATTTTACCCACGGTTAAGGCAAAGCTCACCTATATTTAGCTTATCAAACAGATTCCAGGAATATATTTATAAAGGGAATCTCACAGCAACCTTACAGTCGTTGAGATTTACAGAATGTTTTCCACACTGAGTGCTGGTGGTATATATACAGTATATTAAGCACCTACAACTCCTTGACACACACACAGTACATGACATTAATGTGTTGCACTTGTTACCCCAGCACCAGCACTGTGGGAGGGGCCAAGAGTGGGTTATATCTGTCCACTGTTGTGGAAAATAAGTTCCCCAGAACAGGTGCAGCTAAGTAACATTTAGACCTGTTACCGTCAGCCAGTCATCTGAACTTTTTGTTGCTCCACAGGTTGATCATTGCATTTGCGTTTCACTGTGTGCCCTTTAACCTCTGAGGTCAGGTTGTGACACTGCTCCAAAGCACTGCATCTCTCTTGTGTTGGTGTTGCACATCAAGCACTTTCTCCTGACACTTCAACTAGGCCATAAATCACAAGCTCCATCCTGACACAAAATGCAAAAATTCATACTAAATTGTACACTTTTTTTATACTATTATAAAATTAACCGGAAACACTTTACACTAAGGTCCCATTCGTACAGTGGCTAACAAGAAGCAATATCTTTGCTAATATTAGATAATAAAAAATAGTTGTTTATTAATCGTGTTAAATTAACATTAAAATTAATTAATGCTCTTCATTGTTGTTTTAGTATCATTGAAATACTATTTTAGTTTTGATTCATAGTTTGAATTTGTTTTTATTTATATGTTTCAATGTAATCCATTTTTAATTTCAGATTTATTTTTTTGTTATTTTAGTACATTAAGTTATTTTAGTACACTAAATGAAAATGAGAAATGCTTCCCCAGAAATTATCTGAAATGAAATAAGTTTAAGATTTTTTAATCACTTATTTTATAGTTATCATTTTTTATGATCTTTGGTTTTTTTAATAACCCTGGTGCATTGTTAGCTTATGTTACCTGATGGAAATCGAACGTAATAGCAAAGTATTACCTATTAAATCAAACATAAATTGAAAATCAACATTTTAATGTAAATAATAATAATAACAACAAAAACCATAATACAACTGTTTCCCAAAAATGCATGAGAATAGTCCCTTTATGTAAAATTTGCTAGTTTAGACTGTTATTTGCTATTTCTCACTGAATTATTTCTTCACACAATAAATTGTGATTTATTATAAGGCAGACGGAAACTAAGTGATCCTACCAGAGTTTACTCAGTTATCAATTCAAACTATAAATCCATTCATTCTAATCTTACAGTGAAGAGTTTGCCATAATTCATATTAAATAACTAGTAGCACTTTGCAAGGCTGTAACAACTGCTGAAACTGTTTCTGCAGGGGACAGATCTTATTATTAATAGGTTGATAAAAGCTGTTTTGGAACATTGGGTAATGTGGCACAGCTTAATAAACATACAATTCCATTGCTGGGTTAGAATAAATAATTTCTTTATAATTTCTCTTTCATTCCTCCAAACTGTTTGTGGAAAAACCGTTTACACCAAAGGATAATGCCATTAAAGATGGGTGCATCTGGTTTTATTAAGGGGAAAATTGCTACAAATACACTAAGTATCTTATTAAACCTCAGTCAGTATTACAGCTTCAAAAATAGATCTTATTATTAATAGGTTGATAAAAGCTGTTTTGGAACATTGGGTAATGTGGCACAGCTTAATAAACATACAATTCCATTGCTGGGTTAGAATAAATAATTTCTTTATAATTTCTCTTTCATTCCTCCAAACTGTTTGTGGAAAAACCGTTTACACCAAAGGATAATGCCATTAAAGATGGGTGCATCTGGTTTTATTATGGGGAAAATTGCTACAAATACACTAAGTATCTTATTAAACCTCAGTCAGTATTACAGCTTCAAAAACGCACACCATCATTAACATCAGCATTGTTATTACTGTTATCTCATTATTATTCACAGTCGTGAATGCATAATCCCACTGGGCAAACACGAACGCTGGTCCTGCAGCCACCGGATCACTGGAGGCACCTGAGAGGCTGTGACAGCACAAAACAGGTTCTCAGTAAAGTTTCCTGGTCAGCGGTTGCATTCAATAACATCATTCTTGAGTACTGAATCCATTACATGTCCATGAGTATGCCATGTTTCATCCTCAAGCGTCCAGCGTTTACTGTTCCAGTAATAATAAGATGTTACTACAGTTCTGAGCCGCTGTTCTCCATTGAGTCCTTGGCCATTCATTAAGTTTCATATAGACATGAAACTTAATGTGAGCCATCCATTGTTTGTTTATGTTGTTCTGGTGGACAGCCGTTAACCAACACAAGAAATGTTTTTTTGTGACAGTATGCATTGATGTTACAATACAAAAAGAGTGAAAAATATTAATTTTAAGGTAATTCTCAAAGGGTTTAGAACTGGAGAGCTGTGTTGTACGATATCAAAAGTTTCACTTTAAAAAAAAATTACATCATACTATGCTACAGCTGTGCACATGAATATTGTTTGAGCACTATTATTTAGACACTTAAAAAAAACAACATCGAGTAAAAACATTAGGATACTGTGAAACTCTGTTGTCTTTTTCTACTTTCTACTCTTCGATTTCCTCTTAATCTTTCAGAGCAAGACCATAAAATACTGACACCATGTAAAACCTCAAAACAAGTCAATGAAAAACACATTGCCATCAAATACAATGAACACATTTTCAGTAGGAAATTCTTGTTTGGAAACTATTGAAAAATTCTTTCTGCTTAGTTTTACAATTTTGCCATCATGGTTTTGCTAATAACAATACAATATTACCAGTTTCTGAAAATGATTGATGTTTTTTTAACCTGACCTACCTTTTTTTTTTCACACAACAATAACATGACAAATTATCTGCCTCTTGTAAAATACATTTGGCAGTCAGTCACGCTAAATAACTGGAACAAAATTCCTACTCAATCATCAAAAGACATTTGAGTTAATTAAAGTGCAATGTTTTGAACATGCTTCTTAGCAGAAAAGGTGATTGCACCTTCATCCAAATTTCGACATATGCCACAAAAAAATGTGGCAGTCTTGCCATTTTATGTACAATCAAATCAAAAAAAGATGAAAAAAGTGATCACTTATACTATGAATGTATAAGCCTCTTAACAGGCCTCTTAATAAATACCAACACGGACATTTCAACATTACCCAGGAGGCCTTACACAATTATAAATGGCCCTGTATTCAGTACAAATGTACATTAAAAGACAAATGACATCTAACACTGTGTCCCAATGAGATGTGACAAATTTCCAGAGATGTACTGTAATTTGTCTGCTTATACTGAAAGAGAAAATGCAAAAACACAAAAGAAAATCAGAACAAATTTGACAATTATTCCTACTCCGAATTACTGCAATAATGAGACGACATCTCTGAGATTGTACTCTGAGTGGCAATGCTCATATATCTTCAAATAAATCAATTAAAACAGAGACAAAAACTCTGATCTGCATGGAAGATTTTGTCATCCCATTAGGACACAGTGTTATTTTTAAAGAAATCAATACAAACTCTACTATGGCTTTTAAGAAAACCATACAGGAAAGATCACTCTAAGTGATTACACATTAAACTTTCTAAATGATTAGAAACTGACAGCAAGATATTTATGGAAGCAAATGACTGTTCACATCACACAAGTTCATAAATGTTCCTTTCTTCCAAGTCACTCATGCTGCAGACCTTTACATAAATCAACCCGATTTAATTCCTGGCCACCGAGTTTCAGATTAGACAATGATTGTGACACGCTGAACCTTGCTAAAATAACAATAATTCACAAAATGGAGATAAACACAATAGCTCTATTGCGACAGATTAAACGAACACTCATCAACACAGAAATGGAACACATCCAGATCAGACTACACCACAACATTTTTTGCATTTCAGTTGTAAAATACCTTGTAAAGAAAGTATTGTATCACCTTTGAGAATAGTGGGAATTGCAAAAAAAACCCTAATATATATTTTTTCCACATTTATTACAGTAATTACAATTTTGGAGGGAAAAAGTGATTAACTGTCATAACAATAACATCACTTAATTGACTCAAAATATCTTAGATTTTCTTTCGCTTTTGAGATGAAATGAAGCCATGATATGTTTTAATGAGATCCACTTCTGTAACAAATATAGATTCAGTTACAGAAGAGTAAGACAAAATTCCAAGACTTGCCAACATACAGTGGGGAAAAAAAGTATTTAGTCAGCCACCAGTTGTGCAAGTTCTCCCGCTTAAAAAGATGAGAGAGGCCTGTAATTTTCATCATAGGTTAAAAAAAAAAAAAAAAGTTGGTAACTTGAAAAAATTTTCAACCAGCCCTAATGGTCTTCCACTCTTTTGTCAAGATTGGCTCTAAATATATTAAAACCATTACATCTGGCAGAGTTATCAAATCTATATCAAATGCGTAATGATGCACCAGCATCAAACTAATCTGCCAAACTAAGTGCGCCACAGAAACTCAGAAGCTTGGAGCACATCATTGTAGACCTGTAACATACTCTATGCAGGTACACAAACACAGTTGATTCTAGCTATAGTACACAAGCTCAGTTTCACAAGTTGTATTCCAAAATGTGTCAAAACGCAATTCATAACACAAGTATCTATTCACAGCATTACTGTAAACGCAATATCGCAATTTAAATTATTCTAGAGGCAGTTTTCTTTTGTGTCAAGTATGGTCAAGACGCAACAACAGTCTGACAAGAATCTTGTCTGATAAAAGTCAACATGTTTATAGCTAGCTACTTAATGCATCCAGTTTAATAGCACAGCAATTTGAAGGTGACTATCGCATTCGGAATACTGTGGTTTGTTAACCCCACAGTTATTACACTGTAATAACACCAACATTCCTGAATACTTCCAAGGAAACATGTTTGGATTACATATTTTAATACTTTGTTTGGTTTTAAATCCTTTTAGAGAAAGGAAAACAAAGAATGTTGACTTTGAGCTATGCTTTGGCATTCACATTTGTGTACTTGGGTAGAGTATGTTTTGTCAACTCAACTCTTAAAGACATGGTTAGGCATGTCTGCAAAGTAGGGATATTAGATTCTGATCTCTAATGCCTAACCCGATCACACCAATGCTCCTCTAAACATCAGTGCTCCTTAACACTGTACATAGGCTTAGATTCAACACTTACAAAGTACAGAAAGCCCTACCAGTAGTAGTAAAAGACCAAAGAAACCGAGTCTGCGCTCTGAATGACTTTGTGGCCAAAACAACTACACACTGTTCCACTTCCTGTTAGGATGTTCTCAAGTTTCTCCATATCAATGCTGCTTTCAAGTCACGTTGGAATAATTGTATTTAGTGGACATGAATGCCTGTCAATACAAGAATCAGTTGTGGCAGAAGCTGGTATTAATCATAATACACTATAACTGTGAAAATGAATTCACATCATAATTTTGAATGGGAAAAGGTGCTTTTACAAAGCAGTGTGTGTAATTACAGACTCAACCAGCAGGCTAACTATGCCATGTTAATACACCAATTTTTGGCCCCCTGTTGATCATTAAGTGTGCGAACACTTCCTATCATTTTCTGTGGCAGCACAAGAATGACAAAATATATGCTAAAAAGCTTTTATCGGGAAATGATCGAGAGAGAAAGACACTTGCCCAATGAATCCATCTTATTCCGACCAAATCGCTTGAATTCACGTTGCATCAAAATTAAGATTACGGAACTCATAAATAAAAATCTCCCAAAGGACTTGAAGTCAGCACTTGTAAGTGATACAGATGAACAGTACTAATGGATACATTAAAAGATAAAACGTTTCAGCACACCTCTAGAAGCTTGCAGTCAATTACAGACTCAACCAGCAGGCTAACTATGCCATGTTAATACACCAATTTTTGGCCCCCTGTTGATCATTAAGTGTGCGAACACTTCCTATCATTTTCTGTGGCAGCACAAGAATGACAAAATATATGCTAAAAAGCTTTTATCGGGAAATGATCGAGAGAGAAAGACACTTGCCCAATGAATCCATCTTATTCCGACCAAATCGCTTGAATTCACGTTGCATCAAAATTAAGATTACGGAACTCATAAATAAAAATCTCCCAAAGGACTTGAAGTCAGCACTTGTAAGTGATACAGATGAACAGTACTAATGGATACATTAAAAGATCAAACGTTTCAGCACACCTCTAGAAGCTTGCAGTCTTATTATTAGTGCACCATTTAAAACGGAAACTTTTTTCCAAAAATATAAATTTTAATCTTATCCGATGCTTCTTAGAAAATATTACTGTAGCAGGTTAAGAGCAGAGTATGCAGTCCTGTCGGTCAATATTCTGTTGTTGAACTAGAAAAGAACAACGATACTATAATTCAGACATGTAGAAAACTGTGACGAGTGCAATTATTCACATCAACTCTTGATTAAAAAAGGGCAGATGGTATTCCGCATTCCATACATGAAGAAATGAGTGATAATGAGGATGCTGAAGATCAATCTCTCATTCTCTCTATTGGTATTGCCTAAAGATGAGAGGACAGCCAACCCCAACATAGGTCCCTTTTCAACTTCGCTTTAACATGACGCACTGTTTTGAACTGATTCTGTACTGGCTTTCAATTCTTTGCTGGGGTCTAAGTCACATTTGGACAGAAAACAATAGGAAGAACAACAAGAACAAGCATGGTGTTATTGATCTATTCCTTTGTCTGACTTTTTGCATACATCAGTGTTTTGTTGGTTGCAGTTTTGATGGTTACGATAACGATAATGATGATGATAGCCAACCAGAAGCTCCTCCCCTTAAAATTCAGGAAGTAACAAGCTTGCTCAACTGTTATGCAACTGGCAAACAAGCTATCGAGCTACTTCAGGATCTAGCTGGAGTGTAGCTCAGAAATATATACCAGAAGAGAGGTAGAGTGAGAGGACAAACAGAGGAACAATGAAAATATTTAGCCTAAAACAAGACACGTGAGAAGATCCTTCACATGGTTGTGTTTGTGGTACAGGATATAATGCCAGACTCTCAGCTCTCAGACAGTGAGAGGGTCAGTGCTGCCTGCAGTGCTGCCTCCTCATCAATGCTGTAGTCCTGCATATGCAGACATAAAAACAGAAAAAGAACACATCCAGATCAGACTACACCACAACATTTTTTGCATTTCAGTTGTAAAATACCTTGTAAAGAAAGTATTGTATCACCTTTGAGAATAGTGGGAATTGCAAAAAAACCCCTAATATATATTTTTTCCACATTTATTACAGTAATTACAATTTTGGAGGGAAAAAGTGATTAACTGTCATAACAATAACATCACTTAATTGACTGAAAATATCTTAGATTTTCTTTCGCTTTTGAGATGAAATGAAGCCATGATATGTTTTAATGAGATCCACTTCTGTAACAAATATAGATTCAGTTACAGAAGAGTAAGACAAAATTCCAAGACTTGCCAAAATATGCAGAGACGACAACCGGGTAAAACAAGGGTAAACAGTGGTGGTGCTTTTACAAGAGCTTCTTCTCGACAGGCAAGCTAAACTCAAGTGTTTGCCACACATGCTAGCTCTTGACTGTCAAGCTACAGATACTACAATGTGAGAAAGGCCGTGATGAGTGTAAGGGGCGTTTGCAAATGTGGTTTGAAAATATGCTTTATTTTTGTAATTCCACCAGGTGACACTAGTAGCACAGAAATGGCATACTTCACCATGATACAGGTTCATCTATTGTATAAAGAAACAAATCTCTATGTTTTGTGCTGTAACACTAATTGAATTATTAAATCCATTTCCCTCTCAGATTCTTAATTCCGTAACACATATGGATGTTTTATTTGTCATAAGGTTTTATATGAGGTTCCATTACTGTTTGGATACTGCTTTAGAAGGCAGCTGCCTATGTAGGCAGGAGAAAGCAAGGCAGCTCACATGGTATCGGGCACAGAGCGTTAGAATACAAAATGAAGAATATATCAATCTAAAGTATATGCTTTTTTTGCCTTCTTACCACAAATGTGTCATAGGAGAATTTGTGCCGGTGGAGAAGATGCTGCAGAAAGTTGGAGCTCTTATAGCTAGGGTCACCCCAAGGCATAGCTGAACATACTGGACATACCTTCAAGGATAAAACATAAGAAAAGAGTGTTTACCAGTAAGGACCGTGATCAAATCTTGACCTGGTGCTTGATTTAAAACACTGAAAGAATTGCAGAAAAGCAGAATTGACATTCTGCTAAATATCTCGTTTCGTGCACAGAAGAATAAATATCATATAGGTTTCAGTCTACATGAGGGTGAGTAAATGCTAGAATTTTCATTTCAGTTTATTGTTCCAATTCTCAATACAAGATATTCTGTACAAGCCATGCCCTCTCTGCGACAGATAAGTGGTACTTGGCACCCCTGAAACTGTAAGGTAACTGACACTCACCACTTTGTTGGGGTCATTGCGATGGTTCTCCATGGAGTGCTTCACTAGTTCCTGTTGGTCCAAGTTGCGAGCGCCACAGTACGGGCACACAAATGTGGAGCGGTTTGGAATATTGCTGTTAAAAACAGAATTTCACTGTATCTTAACCATGTGGTCTAATAAACCAGTATCAGATCTACACTATTACATAATAAGCAGTAGCTCTGGAGCAAAAGAGTCAATAGACAAAATAGTTGTGTTACTAATTATCAGTGTTCACATGAATAATGTAAATGTGCAGCCAGGGGGTGTATAGCATTGTGTGAATAACTTTCAAGTCTATAAGAAATGAGCCAAGAACCTTCTGTTCACATTAGCTGTTTGAGGCATTCCTGACTGCCCAATTTTCAGCAGCTCCTTCCTTTTCTCTACAGGGATTTCAAAAACATTGGTGATATTACTTTTATTGAAGTCCAATAAACATTAATACGCCAATGAAATATTAATATTAAGTAACTTACTTTTGAGGCAAAATGTGTTCAATTACTCCGCAAACATGAATGCAGCCCACTAAAAATTGTTATTGTTTACAATTATTTTTCTCAGTGCTGCTGTTATTTCAGCAAGCTACAAATTCCATTAAGATCAAAGAGAAAAGTCAGCAAAGAATGGTGAAATTTCAGCAAAAATATTTAGCTCAAGACTTATTCTATCAAATTCAAGTTGTTTCAAGAGTGTGACACACTTTGGGTCATTTCCAATGTTTTGTGGGAGTCAGCACTTTTATTGGTGAATAGTTGAATATTTCTTTAAGATTACGGGTAATGTAACACCTCACTGGAATTTTAGTTTTAATTCAATATTTACTTCCAGGAACCACATTGTCATGCTTTGTATTACCAAATATTACACCTACTACATTAGAATTACATAAATCACATGAATAATTTAAAATAAAAAATACAATAAGTTAAACATAATAATATATATTTACAAATAATGTCCTGAAAGTGTTTGACCAGAGATAATTTCTTTCAGGGGAGCCAGATATCTGTCTTTTTTAGAATTCTGCCATGCAGCTTGAATAGCCTGATGGTCTGGCAAAGACGTTTGCTTGCTCAGTGGGAGACTTTTCATATTTGACTTGCAAAGCCCTATCAGCAAACAGCATGGGAAAGACTTCAACAGACGGAGACATAACTGGATTAATAGATGAGGCTTGGGCACAGGGAATCTTAAAGGGATAGTTAACCCAAAATTGAAAATTTTATGTTTATCTGCTTACCCCCAGGGCATCCAAGATGTAGGTGACTTTGTTTCTTCAGTAGAACACAAATGAAGATTTTTTAACACAAACCGTTGCAGTCTGTCAGTCTTATAATGGAGGTGAATGGGAATCACGGCTTTGAGAGTAAAAAAAAAAAGATCGGTCTGTGCAAGAATCTGAACAGTATTTATATTGTTTTTACCTCTGATTCACGCAATGTCCAAACTGTCCTGAGCGCGTTCTCAACAGCAGGCACGTGAGGCATCTTCTTCTTCTTGCTTTACAGCGGATCGCAGACTTATAAGTGCATTACCGCCACCTATCTCTCAAATGGACAACTGACACTCTAGCTACAATCTAAATTAGGAGTGTCAATGGTCCACTAGAGAGATACACATCAATGTATCGTCACGAGCCGCAGGGTTTAATTTGGTTTTGTTTGTGTATGTTTTTTTTTTACTCTCAAAGCCGTGATTCCCATTCACCTCCATTATAAGACTGACAGACTGCAACGGTTTGTGTTAAAAATCTTCGTTTGTGTTCTACTGAAGAAACAAAGTCACCTACATCTTGGATGCCCTGGGGGTAAGCAGATACACATCAAATTTTCATTTTTGGGTGAACTATCCCTTTAAGGTCTCTATCACTGTCACCATGAGCAGATACTGTTCTGTTTCTCCATGGTATGTAGTAAGTACCACTAGAGCTGCACGATTAATCGTTAAAAGATCACGATCTCGATTCAGACAACCACACGATCTCATTTCTAAATGACAACGGTTCTCCCGTGTCTATTAAACCTTTGACAAAGTCTTATCGGATCATTCAAATCCGTGTTCGCACTGCCGCTGACACAGAGAGAGCAGTTACCATGTTTGGTTAAGAAACGGCTTCACAAACAGTCTTTTCAACTAAATAATATTATTTCTGTCGTACAGTCATTCATATTATCACAGAAATACTAGGATGAAAGTTTATAATTCAGATATAAACATTGATGTCTATGGTAGCGCGACCAAAATGGAGCAAATCCGCGTTTGAAAGTAACTGCTACATAATGTTTGTATCGATTGCATTGTTTCAAAAACGCTGATTCATCCAGTAGGTTTATGAGTGAGTCGTTGAATCATTGATTCAAACAACTTTTTCATAATTTTAATATTATATTGAAGTATTAAATATATTATAGTTTAAATACATATACACTACCAGTCAAAAGTTTTTGAACCGTAAGATTTTTTTTTTAAAGAAGTCTCTTCTGCTCACCAAGCCTGCATTTATTTGATCCAAAGTACAGCAAAAACAGTAACATTTTGAAATATTTTTACAATTTAAAATAACTTTCTATTTGAATACATTTTAAAATGTAATTTATTCCTGAGATTTCAAAGCAACATTTATCTGAAATAGAAATCTTTTGTAACATTATAAATGTCTTTATCATCACTTTTGATAAACTTAAAGGATCCTTTCTAAATAAAAGTATTAATTTATATAACCCCCCCTCAAAAAAAAAGAAGAAAAAAAAAAAACTGACTCCAAGCTTTTGAATGGTAGAGTGTATAATGTTACTAAAGTGTTTTATTTCAGATGAATGCTGATCTTTCTATTCATCAGAGAATCCTGAAAACAAAATGTACTCAAGTGTTTTAAATATTGATAATAATAAAATGTTTCTTGAACAGCAAGTCAGCATATTAGAATGATTTCTGAAGGATCATGTCTGGACTGAAGACTGGAGTAATGATGCTGAAAATTCAGCTGCGCATCACAGAAATAAATTACATTTTTAAAATATATTCAAATAGAAAGCAGTTATTTTAAATAGTAAAAATATTTCACAATATTACTGCTTTTGCTGTATTTTGTATCAAATAAATGCAGGCTTGGTGAGCAGAAGAGAATTCTTTAAAAAAACATAAAAAATCTTACTGTTCAAAATCTTTTGACTGGTAGTGTATATGGTTAATACTTCATTCAAATTAATTAAACACTTTTAAATAGACTGCAGCAATCATATTTTGCCACACATTATTTTGTTTAGTTCAGAATCGTGATCTCTATTTGAGACAAAAAAAATTCTTGATTCTCAATTTATCCAGAATCGTGCAGCTCTAGTTCTGTGTTTTTTTTTGTTTTTGTACTTGAGTGCAATAAATTTTGGTCGAAAAAGTGAGAATCGTGATCTCAATTCCCATGGAGAAAAATCGTGATTCACATTTTTGCAAGAATCGTGCCGCCCTAAGTACCACAGAGGACAACGTCTGTACAGCTGTGCCCAAAATCTTAATGCCACTTCATCAAACAGTATCTAGAGGGCAAGTCTGAATCGCATGTCCATTCTGTCTACCGAGATTCCTCCAACTGGTCAGTTTTTGAAGGAAGTTTATGATATCCCACAATCCTGTTGGTGAAAATATAAAAATGGTGTCCGATACAAGGTTGAAGGAAGTACATATAATGATGTCACTACTTTCAAATTAGAACTAGAGAAATAAGGATCGTTTTCATTAACGTCAACATGCAATCAAAATTCACCTCATAGATTTACTTCATAAAATTTGATCAACATATAATAACTTGCTCCACCTCTGAAACAACTTCCCTTTTCCACTGATGTCAACAAGCCTTCTTATTTTAACTTCTCCCATCCAACCTACCTGTAATAGAGACACTTTTCTTAATCAAATCAATTTCCAAAACATAAAATCTAGTCCTGACTGGAGGTGTGTGATATTGACGAAAAAGTGATATCTCAATATTTCCTGGATTTTTTGTATAATGATATTTAGACAATGCAGAGTGTGTTTTGCGCACATTCTCAATGCATGCCAGCTCGCACATCATTAAAACAATAAGTGCGATATTATCGTAGACAGTATATCACACACCCCTAGTCCTGACCCACATTTTTTTTTGTCTTGATTAGTTCACAAATTCATCAGATTATGGAAGCAAAATTGGTTGTGAGTGTTGTTTAATGCTGAATTTAAATATTCTCTTAGCTCTAAAGCCCTATAAAGCTCACTTGAGTTTGTTCTAGATTATCAGAGGAGACATCATGGTGTCTTGGAAAGAATCAGTCTGAAGCAGTTTCCTCACCTCCATACAAAACTGCAGTCTGTTAAACCACTGACTCACTGGGCACCGAGACAGAAATGTGTCATAGTGTCACCGACACGATATTGAACAAGGTCTCTGTGTTTACTCAAGTAACGTTTGTAGGGTGGCATAAAGGTCTGCATTAGTAACATGGTTCTACAATATTTGTATGATGCTACCACAAAGAGTACGATAAACAGCCATGATGCAAGACTTTTGCAGACAGAGACACAGTGGGAATACATCAACATGCTCTGCTTTGAAGAGCTAATTAATTCTTATCCTCCTCTCGCTCTTCCTGTGCTTCAAAGGAAGAGTGAAGCATGACAGAGACACACACACATAACTCAACCTGGAGTCATCTGATTGGACTTTTATCAGATTCCTGTCTGCAAAACTTTCTGTCTCTCTTCAACTGTCAGACATCAGTTTGACATCTCTAGATCTAAGTATACCTACACCATTAGTGTGTAGGTCTAAAGAGTATCTGTAAAGAATGAAATGCGTCCTGGATCCATATTTTAAAGCTCTTCGCTGCATTTTAACTGTTGTCCCAAAGAGCATTGAGTGCTTCAGAGAAGCATGAGTCATAAGGCAGCATTTGCCTAAGAGAGACTTGTGGGATTAGTTGCTCTTTAATGTAGGGAGAAAGAGGAAATATTCTAAAATGCTGTGTCCAAACCAGGCGCAATGCAACAAGTTTCCATTTACATAATTTTATTGTTTGTCCTGACTGGAACTGTCCTAATTGGCCGTGATGATGTTGAATCATGGAATATTTTCATATTTGATGTTACATATACAATGGAGCAGGATTTTTAATCAATGCGATTTCACTGTTGGCAGAGTCACCTATAATAATGTGGGGAAAAAGGAATTAAAAAAAATAATAATTTACTCAGTGCTCAGTTACTCAGTGATTTGTTTTGGATCAGAAAAAAAAAGAACAAAGGAAAAATAAACAATATATGTTTGTATTGTGAAGCCTTAGTACCACATAATACAAGATTAAAGGGGTCATATGATGACTCCCTGTAATTTGGTTTTTATTTAGTGATATGAGTAGGATATTTAGAGCGTCGTTACGCTGAAGACTTTTGTTAATTTTCTTTACTATTATTATTTTAAAGCAAACTGTAAATAGTGCATCACAAAGCCTTCTTCTTGTGGCTTCGGCTTCAGGTAATAAATTGTTGTTAAAAACATTCATTGGTGTTTATGGTCACTTTTCTGCCTGCTTCAATCCACCCAGCAATAATCTATTTTAAGTGTTATGATACAACCCATAGACTTTTAAATATCGTAACATGCACCAAGAGCTTGTAACACTCCAAAGAGAAAGGAAAAATTGAAATCGCATAATATGACCCCTTTAAAGTAGTAATATTTTGAGAATGAAGTCAAAATTACGAGAATAAAATCATAGCACTGACATTAAAGTTGTAATATTAATTATTTTGAGAAAAAAACAATCACATTATTACAAGATACAGTGTGATTATCACGATGAACAGAATGCCATTCCAGCAGCATGGATGTGGAGGATTAAACGTTAAATCTGTGCAGTAAAGTTAGTTCCACTTTGGCTGGATATTCAACTTCCTGGACTGTCTGGTCCAAGTTGCGAGGGCCACAGTACGGGCACACAAATGTGGAGCGGTTTGGAATATTGTTGTTAAAAACAGAATTTCACTGTGTCTTAACCATGTGGTCTGATAAACCAGTCTTACAAAGTTAACACTAGCACAAATATGTTACAAAAAATATGACGCCTCTTAAATGCCATCCTTTCATAGGAGACGGTGTGAAAGTCACACACACAAAAAAAAGCTAAACGTTGGTGGTGTCCAACCTTTAATTCTTCACAAGTATTTAACATAAATAAAAACATATTCTAATATGTTCTAATAGTTAAAGTAGGCTCCTAACTCTATTAACTGACTCATTTTTAAGAACAATAAAACAAATGTTGGTAAAGAGAGCACCATTCCTTTTTTGTGTATTTCTAACTTTTAAATTCATTCCAGCTCCCTTACACTTATCCCATAAAGAAGAGAGGCACCAAAGCCTAGTGGCCTACACAGCTAATCAGGCCAAATGAGAAAGAACACCTTTAATAATTTACTTTTATTTTATAACCAAAGGTGTTTTCACCAGCACTGGAACATTCCCTTGCACATAGAAACTCTAAAACCCTCTTAAGAGCTAAGATCCATAGAGAAAGGCCACCTGGGTTGCTGCATTCCACTGTGTCTTCATGGAGAGCTTTTCCTTATGGAAACCTTTCACTGGGGATGAGGCAAATGATAGCATTGCGAGTCAAGACTAAAGCAGATTCATTATTTATTACTTTTGTTTTCATATTGAATCCTGAAATCACTTGGGTGCATTCTGCAGGCAGTAATATTAAATAATAATAAATAGCCTATTAAGTAAATAAACAAATGAAAATGAGCATGGAAATAAGTCACCATGGCCAGTCCGGGTCAGCACAATACAGTAACAATGCCACTAATATACTATAAATATTATAATTTTAATCTCATATTGCTATTGTTTTCAAAATACTACGACTTTATTCACATATTTTTTACTTTAATCTCAAATTATAAATGTATTGTCCTGATCTTTTTTTTTTACATGACACTACAGCTGTGTCATACTTTTTCAGATATGTGCATTACTTTCCTATTTATTTAACTGATTTACAGACAAAAACATTTGAAACCCTGTATATTTCCAAAGTGTAGTCACACTAGCAAGCAACATTCACAAGAGCAAAAACAAAACAAAAAAGTTGATGATGAGAGAATTGAGGTAATTGATGAAAAGAAAAACAAGGTTCTTTTCCATGATTATGTCAACCTGACCTCAAATGATCCCTGGAGTGATGCTTACCTGGGAATGGGTTGTGAGGTGGGGACCACAGGCATGAACTTTGGGCAATTGGCCATCTGTTCCTGAACCTTTGTGCAAGTTGAAATATGCGACCGCATTTTGACCAGGGTGACCTGGGATATTCAAAGGGACATAATAAAACAAAGTGAGTAACTTGCGCTGTGATTAAAGTGCCCCTATTATGCTTTTTCAGGTATTACCTTTCATGTAGTGAGTAATATAGCTGTTTGTGAATATAAAAGGTCAGCAAAGATCAAAGTGCATGACAAATGGAGTTATTATTTCTGAACTGCCTGAAATGATTCATCAGTAATTGAAAACTTACTTCTGTTGCAAACCTAAGAAGCTTTGTGACAAATCTGCATAATGCATGCCTTTGGTCTTCATGTGTACTTTGACCTGCCACCAAACACTGTGGTTGTAGCTAAGGCCTGGAAGAGTTCAGTTCGTGTTGTTGTAATGTCTAGAAAACACTGTTTCCGGCACAGTGAAAGTAAAACCATGATGCATGTGTTTCCAAATGATGAGGATGTAAAGAGACAATGGTTGAAATTCATTGCTGGTCATGTTTTTAGAATCAGAATCAGAATCAGAATGAGCTTTATTGCCAGGTATGTTTACACATACGAGGAATTTGTTTTCGTGACAGAAGCTTCCACAGTGTAACAGAATGACAGTGACAGAACAAAAAACACAGATGATAAAAATAAAAAGAAAAATAGAACAAGTAAATAAGGAATAAAAATATATAAATTAAGCATCCTGCGTTAGTTCAGGCAGGCCTCGTAGTCAAGCTCCGCTATCAGCTGACTGGCGAAATTGAAACCCGGCCCCTATCAGCTGATCCGACTCCTAAGCTTGCAATTGGCAAATCTCAAACAGGGCGCCTTACTTAAACACTGCTTCTGTCTGCTTGCTTTGCTGCTTTCTCTATTACGCTGCTTGCAACCCACCTCCTCCCCATCTCCTCCTTTAACTGTGCTTAACTTAAACACTGTCATTCTGTTGTCATTGTTGCATGCTCTGTTCTGGGGGTCTTTTTTGTGCTATTCTCCTATTCTTAAAATAGGAGGGTTGCCCCTGAAGTGACTGCTGTTTCCCTGTCCTGGCTTTCATGGAGCTCATGAAAAGGACCGGGAACTTGGAACAGAGCCATACTACCAAATGTAACTTTAGTAAACATGCTAATTATGTACAGGTACTGTATATTATGTGCAAATTTGAGGAGTAGGCTGAGTATGAGTGTTAGCTAAATAAGTGTATGAGTGAATAAATAGTGTGTGTTCTAAGGTTATTGTCAAGTGTTCATGAGATGGATGGCCTGAGGGAAGAAACTGTTCCTGTGTCTGGTCGTTCTGGTGCTCAGTGCTCTGTAGCGTCGACCAGATGGCAACAGTTCAAAGAGGGAGTGTGCTGGATGTGAGGGGTCCAGAGTGATTCTGCCAGCCCTTTTGCTCACTCTGGATAAGTACAGTTCTTTTAAATCCAGCAGTCATGTTTTGCTGACTTTATGAAACTAAAATATCTAAAACAATTGCTGTGTCAAATCACACAAACACAAAACAGTGAGCACTAACACAATAAAAGTTTTCAGTGGTCTTTCTAAGCTCGCAATGGCAAATCAGGACATCTCAGTGTGTCAGATTGTAGTTGCTGGGCTGTGCTTGTTTTGCTTTAATTTTTATTTACCATTAAAGGGGTCATATGACCTTGCTAAAAAGAACATTATTTTGTGTATTTGGCATAATGCAATGTGTTTATGCGGTTTAAGGTCCACATAATGTACATTATTGTTTCTCCTCTATGCCCCACCTTTCTGAAACGCATCGATTTT